CAAGAGTAAGAACTGGGCCTCTTCAGTTGCTGAAGAAGTGCAGTGGACAGCATACCCAGATGCAAATGGGGTACATGGCAGTCTACCCGGGCCTGCAGAGCACCATAGCAAGATGGAGGAGAGAACAAATTGGACAACTCTCTTAGCCAAGCATTGACAGCAAGTATCTGGATGAATGGAGACTCTAAGGTGGACTACGTCAGCCAATGGGCCTTGGAAGGATTTTCCCATCCTTGAGTCAATAAAATCAATAGCATTTCAGAACTGTCAAACCATTTGAGCAGTGCCCTCAAAGCATGCTCCACATTTGGGACCCCATTCCCAGGTACTGATGTGGTTACAATGCTGGGTGTGGCTTCTATCCTCCTCTCCCCTCTTCCCCCAAATACATGAAAAGGAAAAGGAAAATTGGTAGCAATGGTCTCACCTGTTTTCTTTATTCCTTGACCCTTCCTATATTAATTAGTAATCCACATGGGCACTGGCATGCATCCTTCTCAACTGTGTGGACATTCCCAAGAATAAATTTTCTAAAAAAAATGCAAAAAAACAAACAATCTTTTTATCCTGGCAGCTCTGATGGATGCTGCCTTAATAATTTTGTCTCCCCCTCAATTTGTACAAGCAGCTGTAGTCCTTCTCATTCCCTTCACTCTTCAAGCTGCAGCCAGGCTTTTGTCCTACAAGGACAACGAGCTAGTTGGATCGCAATGTTCCTATTCCTATCTCTAGAAGAAACACTGTCAAACCATTATTTAATTCACAGAAGCATATGGCCTGAGTAGCCAAGAATCTGGCAACTACACGTTGATAGATTATATTTGTAATTATGAAACATTACAAGAGTGCTGTTAACATCAATCCTTCCTGTTTTAAGTAATAAATTTTACTGTAAGTGTTTAATAATTTCCAGATTTTTTAAAACAACTTCAATGTTATGTTTTGGACCAGTATATTATTACAATTATGCAATCTTTGCAAAACTTTAATTTTGTATGCCATTAATTTTGATGCCTGTAGTTACCACTCTGCCTTGGAAAAATACACTATTTTCTGATTAAAATCATTTGTTCTGGGGGCAAATATTTGGCTTAGGATTTAAGGTACCACTTGGGACTCATGCACTACACATCAGCATGTCTCAGCTTGGACCGGCCTCCACTGCTCATCCTGGGAGGCAAGTGGTGATGACTCCAGTGGTGATAACTCCAGTGGTGGAGTCCATTTGCATGCATGAGGGATCTGGATTACACTAACTCCCAACTTTAACTTGCCCTTAGCTGCTTTGGACATTGATAGAGCTCTTCAGTGGATTGCCATTTTCAGTGCCTCCTCCCTTCTCAATTTGTTAAATAATATGATCCTTTGACTGGAACTGAGAACCCATACTCTTCCATGTTTCTCCCTCTGCGGTGGGCTCTTCTTGTTCCCCCTGGACACCTCTGCCCTTTCCCTAGGCCATGAGATCCCCTGTGACTCCATCTTGGGCTCCTTCTCACAGTTTATTCTATGCAGGTGTTGTCATCCATTGTCTTATCTTCAACTGTCTCAATATACTAACCAATGTTTAGTCTGCATAGATTCCAGCAATCTGGTGACATGGGACCTGGTTTTAACTTTAACTCTACAGTAGGCTATCTTGTACATTTTCATTAGTCAGCCCACAGCATATCAGTGTCATATTTTCATAATGTCACTTTTACATTGTGAACTAGGACATTCATACTTAAGGACAAAGATGGTTGAGGTGCTAGTAATAAAAGCAGAAAGTGGGGATACAGGTTTTACTTTACAGCAAATATACATTAAGATACAAAGGCTGTATAAAGTACTCCTCTCTCAAAAGAAAGTTCTACGGTTGCAATAAAACAGGGGAAATCAGTGGGAGGGAGGAAATTTGGGGAGAGGGCAAGGGAAATTAGAGAGGCTATAAAACTATATCATAAAGTTAAAATAAACAATAAAATATAAAAATAAGAGAACTCATGTTAGAGTAGCCTTGTGATGACTCATGATCTCAGCCAGTCCATATTTTATAGTTCTCCCTCCTTGACATACAACTTCCCCATGAGGGTCTGCATTAAAACCTCTGATTACTGCAATCATGTCCATGTTCTACAGAAGGCACGGAAGAAAGCAGAAGCATCCAGAACACTAATCTTCCCTTTTAAGTCATGAACTGAGAGTTGTATAAATCTCTTCCACTCGTGTCCCAGTCCTGGTCATTTGACACACCCAGTTTCAAGGGAGAAGGCTATGAAATAAGTTATTAATAATTTAGTCTGTCCCCCCTAAAAACTTAGGTGTTTTATTACTAAAGAAAGAAGTGGAGCAAGGGTCATAAGAAACATGCCAATAGTATACGTTGCAGATATATGAAACAAAAGTTTCTTAAATTTTCACTTTTTCTGTCTTTAACTTTTCATTTTTTTTTCATAATTCAGTTCCGAAAGGTTAAGGATTTCACTTTCCAGCCTCATCACCCTTCCCCTGCAACTGATTTCCCCTATATTACAACAATAGTATAATCTTTCAATAATAGTCACAAATCCATCATTCTGCTATTTAAATGTATCATGACATTGTAAGTATTGACAACGGTAGAAAGTCCAGCATCCTATTGTCGAACTATATTTAACAATTCATTGGAACCCATCTTTCATTCATGAATAGAAGTGCACACTGCAATGTATTTTCACTTCTCAGTATGCTAGTCTCCATTATACAGAGGAATACACACACACACACATATACACATATAGAAACATACATGTTTACTTATATATCTATTGATCTTGTGTTTTGCATGAGGTTGCCTTTTGTCAGAGAGAACATATGATATTTGTCCTTTTGGGATAGACTTATTTCATTGAGCATAATGGTCTCTTGTTGGGACCATTTTGTTGCAAATGGTAGAATTTCATTCTTTTTTATGGCTGAGTGATATTCCATATTATTTCCTGTTGTAAGATATTCTGTCTGATTTTGAAATCCATGATCAGGCCATTATCTCCTAGCCCACCAAGAACAGTGACCTGTGATTAGAAAAGCATTCTGTGAAGCAGTTTTATAGGCACTGGGATTCCCCCCACAATGTAAAAAAAAAAAAAAAAAAAAGCATTCTGCTAAGCCTGTCTTATCCAGTATGGCCACCCCAGCACTGTAGGACTACTGAACACTTAGTGTGACTTGTAAACATATCTCCGCTGTGAATGTAAAATGTAAATACGCAGATTGCAAAGACTACATATGAAAGAAATAAAAATGAAGTATCTGATGGGTAATTTTTAGATTGACTCCATATTTTAGATTGAATCCATATTTTAATCTTTGACTAAGTTATTAAAAATGAATTTAAACTATTTGTCTATGTCCATTAGAAAACTGAAAATTACAAAGAGGGTTTAATCATATATCCATAAGCCCACATTGTCCTAAGAACCAGATTAAAATGTCCAATCTACATGAATATTCCACAAGCACATCCTTAAACCATGCTTTTTGTCTTCTCCCTCAGGTTTTCTGTCACCCCTCTGCTCCCATCCATCTGTTCCCTGCTTTGCTCATTCAGGTAAAGACAAGAAAATTCACCTGGTGGCAGATAAGAAAAGCTAAAGGGATATTTTCCTCCATCCCTTGCATTTAGGCATTGTAGGCTGTAACCGTATCTTTTAAATATGAAGTCAATCTGCAAGCTCTTTCCAGGCCTCTGGTGAATATTTTAGTTGAAAATAGCATCAGTTTTACTTTATGTTGTTGCATTGATTCACAGTTAGTAGATACCCTCCTTCCTGAATTGCTTTTCACCAGTCTTCCTGATTTCAATCATAGAAATCCTTGAAGGAAAAGGAAAATCTGAGACCCACCTATTGATTACTTTGCCAAATATGGTAACATTGCCACAAAGTTTCTTCAACACACTTCAAAGAGTGAAGGCATGTCCTCCATCCCTCATTTTTTTCATCTCCCTCAGTGTGTCTTTTCGGTACAAAGCTCCTGGGCCTTTGCATATACCATTCCCTGAGCTTTTACAATGGCCTTTTCATCTCTCCCTTCCTCTGGGCTTGCCATTCCACTTTCCCCAAATTTCCTTTCCAAACTCCCAAGTCTGTTGTGCTTAACTTACTCCCAGAGTCCCAAACTCCCTCACTGGTAATCCTTGACTACTGTATTTTCATTATTTCATGTGTCTGTTTTAACCTGCATAAGAATGCAAGATCTCTTAGTGCTAACCTGTTTCTGATATTTGACCAGTGTATCTCTGAGATCTTGCATGGTTATCTAGCTCTGACAGGACCAACAACTGAATAGCAAATGAATGCGTGGGTAGGTGAATGAGTTAATGAAATTGTTCAGGTGGTTCAAACACTGGGGAGCAGGGTAATATTTATAGGGCAGCATGGAAATTTGAATACTAGATACTGAAGACAACAGGGACCTTTGTCAGTCACAGTCAAATCAAAGCTTTCTTTGAAGGCCTGTTGCTTTCCTCTTTCACGCTTTATTTTCTTAAAACAGGAAACTATTCACTTATTCTTTCAGGGTCTGGCTCTTAATCCTCATTTAGTAATATTCCTCAATCCCAAACCTATCAGCAACATTATTTCTGTGAAGAATACGTGAAGTCTGAAATAGCTTCAACATCTATGTAGACACACTCAGTGGAAGACTTGCAGCCATACTGGTTTAAAGTGAATTAACTGTTTTGAGCCTGCCCCACAACTGCTGCTTAAAATGTAGTCTCCAGGTCAATTGCTCACATGAAAGATGGGAAGAAAGTCATAAATGACACTATGTGGGCTGGCGAAGAAAGTAAGAGAAGGGGATGGAAAACTGATTAGCTGTTTTACAGAAAAGCTCAGAAAAAGCAAACAGTAACAGGAATGTCAAGCTGATCCTTCCATAAATTCCAGTTAGCCTGCCAGGGATTAACCTTGGCTGTAATTAATCCATCAATGACCTTTTCAGAGACTGTTCTTAACTTTGTTTAGAGACTTTGTGTGGGTGGCACTTCCTGTTTGCACACAGAGCAGCATAAAACCCAGTTCCTCTGAGAGTGTTTGGGATCAGATTGACTGCAGGGAGTCAGGGGCAGTCTGATCTGCTCTCCTCTGGCTCATCTCCCTCTTCCCCTGCAGCATGGGGAAAAATGAACTCCTCTTCCTCCTGGGGCTCCTGCATGCGGTCGCCTCCCTCTCTGGAAAACCGTGAGTTCCACACAGAGCTAGAAGCATAACTCAGTGTCCTTTCCTTGGTTTCAGATTGACATCTCTCAATTGTGCGCGTTTGGAAATCTATTTTTCTCATCTCTAAATTCCCTGATGATATGCAGTCTTTCTCTAAGGCATCACAGACTGATAAGGCTTTATTTGTTTTTTGTTTTTGTTTTTGTTTTTAAAGTTAAAAGCAAAGTTACGCAGGGAGAGAGATTTTCCATCCACTGTCTCATGCCGCATATGACCACAAGTCCTGGCGGGGGTGGGGCCAGGTTAAAGCCAGGAGTCTAGAACTTCCTCTGCTCTCACAGTTGGCTGATGGATCCAAGCACCTGAGCCGTCTTCCTCTGCCCTCCCAGACACATGAGCAGGGAGCTGGACTGGAAGTGGCGTAGCCAGGTCTTGAACCATACCCATAAGGGTACAGACATCACAGGTAGAACTTTAAAACCCACTATACCATAATGCCCGGCCCCAAGTAACGTGTTTTTTAATCTTCATGTGATTTATCCACTTGAAAACATGCCATTTACTGTTTCTTATTTGCTCTTTTTTAATTCCTCACCATCTTTTTTCTTTTCTATAAAAGAAGGCAAGTCTCTTCTTCCTCTTAACCAGGGAACATTGTCCCAGAATATAAATCTCTGTGGAGCCAAATAAAAAATAATTTGAAATACTGGTATTAACACTGAGAAAGCAAAGGATTCCGTTAACACGGTGGAAAATCCTTTTACATCTCAACTGGTGATGAATTCTTTGAACACTTTTAAGGAGGAACTGAAGGAATCTTCAACTGATAACTAATTAGAAACAATTCTTGATATAAAAATACTGGGCGACTTTTTAGAATAGATTGCAGAAGGAACTGCAAGAAGGCTAATTCTGTTTTACATATCACTTGGTCATTTTTATGTGAATGATTCTTCTTAGGACATATGCATACACAAAATAAAAATAGTAAAAAATCAATGACAGGTTTCAGTTAATTTATACAATACCCATCTACATACAAACAAATTCATGGGAGGGAACAAACAGCTAATCCTTATCTTTAAAAATATGCGTCAAAGTGTTTACAATTTTTATTTAAAATATATGGATCATGATTTGTGATATATTTATTTTCCTTGTATTTGTAACCCAGTTTTGTTGAAAATAAATCAATCAGAAGAAGACACTTAATGCTTATCATTTTACTGCTGCTATTATATGTAGTTGAAGAGTTCACATTAAATACTACTTGTATGTATCTGTACACATATATATTTATATTCTTATTAATAAAGAATGATCCCAGAAAATGTTTTAAAGCATTGAATTCATTGGATGAGCTTTTTGTGACAAAAGATATGAAAATTCAAGATCAAGGAGGAAAAAATTGGGAAGTTGTCAAATTACTTACTGTGGCAAAAAGGACTTCCAGATATATTATTAAGTAGAGGATGTTGGGCATTTTATAACGATTATATTTAAGAGTCTACATGAAATTCTCAAAAGCAGTGTTTTCGCTTGAAGAATAAAGAAGGATTTAAGATAGCTCCTATTTTGAAAATAAGCAGAGAAAAGTATCTAAAAGTTATTTCAGGGATTCTGTTTGAAAACTACAAGGTCAACTTTAAAGTATAAATTAGGACACAGAGAAAGTTTGTGTCCTGTTTTTGAGTGACTAAGATCCTAATTCAGTCAGTTCTGAATGGGAACATTATTGTTATTGAGTTGCAAGGCATATATTTAAAACACAAACATCCAGCTGCTTACCACAATCAAAATTTCAGTGACTCACATTTTTGAACCTCAGATTACACATTTATGAAGTGAATACAAGCATTGGCCACATGCTTCTCCCAGGGATGTTGAACCTATGCAACTGATGCATGGCAGTTCTTTCCACAACAAAGATTCCTGAACTAACCTGTATCTCAAATACATCTATGTATCTGTTGTTGTGGCATCCACAAGGCCCATCAACTGTGAATCAAAAAATTTTAAAAATCAAATGTATGGTCACATAATGGGGTTTTTAGAAAGATGTTCACTGTCGTGGCTTATGATGCAAAAGGGAAACAATTCTGATGCATATCATGTAAAAAAAAAAAACACAGAGTTTGGGAGTGGAGCACATTTAGCCTAGTCATGAAGATGTTAGGATGCCCGCATTCCAGTGGCAGTAACCGAGTTCAGCTCCTGATTTGGAGGCAGTAGTGATGGCTCAAGTAACAGGGTGCTTACCACCAGTGTGAAGTCCCAGTTCCCAAGAGAAAAACTAAAAACTGCAGGAGTAACAATAATTATATTGAAAACTAGTGCTATTGCTAGCAAAGTCTTTTTCTTCAGTCTCCTTTAACTGGATTTTCTCATTTTCAGAAACTACATGGTGCTGGTCCCCTCTGTGATCCATACAGGGGCCCCAGAGAAGGGCTGCATCCTTCTGAGCCAGCTGAATGAGACAGTGACTGTGAGTGCCTCCTTGGAGTCAATCAGGGAGAACAGGAGCCTCTTCACGGACCTGGTGGTGGAGAAGGATCTATTCAACTGTTTCCCCTTCACTGTGAGTGTGGTTGTTTGGCTTAAGGATAAGGAGTCTAGTATTCCATCAAGACAAGACGTTGTGTCAGAGTGCCTGGGCTTGAGCTCTGTCTCCAGCTCCTGACCCGTAGTCTATACCTGTTCAGACTGTGGTTACAATCATAATGACTAAGGTAGTTAGACGCCTGGCATGCATGAGAGAGAGGGACTGAGTTCTTGGCTCCTAACATGAGCCATGACAGGCATAGGGAATGAACCTGCAGACGAGAACATCCCCCCATCTCAAATTAATAAAAAATAAAATTTTGATGGATGGTAAGAACGTCAGGCAGTGATTGAAATGCAGCAACTAAATGTAGAAACTAAGAAGCAATACATAAGTTTCCAACCTTGAAAAACAAATCTTCACACGAAGTTTAAAAAAAATCACTTACTGACCAAAGTAAAATCCTACCAGCAAGAAAAGCAAACAGATGAAAGGAAAATGTGACTTTGCCTTAAAATTGAAATGTAAAAAAATAAGTCAGGTCAAGGTTGAACATGAGCCACCAGTGGCAAGCTAACAGGAATACATCACTCCATACTTTCAGAACAAGAATTGCTGCCAATTTCCAATATCTCTTTAGAGTTATTCATTTGTGAAAGCATCACAATATAATGCCAATAAAGCACTGTGAACGTCTTATCAAATGCTGAAGACATGATGTTCTATGTCTTTTGAGCACATAACTTTGCCTTGTCCAGCTTCTGTGTGTAACTGAATCGGCACTGTATGTGAAGATGTGAACCTTAATCATCATCTGTCATATTGATAGAATTCCTCCTACTTTGTGTTTTATTTTCCCACTTACAACGACAGAAGTATTCCCTGTTTGTGCCAGCTTTTCTAGATGAGAATGATGGAGTGAAATTGGACACGGACGTCAAGGTGTCCAGGGAGAAGTAGAACTGAGAATGGGGGAGGAGACTTGGGAGGCCTGATGAGTTCTCAGGATCGTTTCTGAATTGCAGGTACCTAGGTCATCATCCAATGAGGAAGTAATGTTCCTCACTATCCGAGTGAAAGGAGCAACCCAAGAATTCAAGAAACGGACCACAGTGTTAATTAAAAATGAAGACAGCCTGATCTTTGTGCAGACAGACAAGCCGGTCTATAAACCAGGGCAGACAGGTAAAAAGGGGCCCAAGTTAGGACACTGGAAAGGAAGAATATTTCCTCTACCTCTAAATTCCCTAAAATTCCTGTTACCCTGGTACCTTAAGAACTTGCCTCACCCATGACCAGTTAAAGAGTCATGGGTGCTCACAGAAAGTTTTTCTATTTCAGTGAAATTCCGTATTGTCTCATTGGATGAAAATCTTCGCCCACTAAACGAGTTGGTGAGTTTACAACTGTTTACATAAAATCACTATCTTCTGTGTAGATCCAGTGGAAACTGATATTGATGTTTAAAGGAAAGGCAGGGAGAGCAAGAATTTCTTGTCACTAACTAATTTTTAACATCACAATAGCACAAGATCCTCTTTTACATTAGATTCCCACATCAAGAAGGTAGCTCATCCTTTTTGTCTTGGTATTGGTACTCAATGGTACCTAGGTATTGGTGCTCAATCATATCATTATTCTTTCTTTCAGACTCACCTAGGGAAATTTTAAAGGTCTGTTGAATGATAGACACAAATTAACCGTGAAAGAACCCCAATGCCATAACTTCCCAGAGATTTAGACTTTTTCTAGAAACACTTCAAAAACCTCTGCTAAGAAAGAATCGATTTGCTTAATATATCTGGTCACAAACCACCCTTTTCATTATATTATAATGTAAATGTCAAACAGAATTGTTTGTTTTTCTCTCCTAAGTGTATTTCTTCACAACATCTCAAAAACATAGTTCTGCTCTTAGGGTTTCGAAAGCAAAAGATTATAGCATGATCCTGACTTCTTCTCTTTCTCTTACACTCACTTTCATTTCACCTACAAAAGGTGAGATTTATAAATAACTATACTCACGTGCATTTATCTATCAATAACATTGCAAAGGAAAAGAATTTCCTTCACCAGGATGCCTCCCTCTTTCCACCTGAAGTGCTGCCACCTGAGCCTGGCCAGTATTATCTGTAAAACAGATCACTGTGATTACCTGAAAACTGCACTCCCAGCTTCTACTTTTTCCCTTCTATCTAAAACACCACGGTCGTCACTCCATCAACTTCACCATGTTTTATTTTTCTTGTTGATATCTGCCACCACTAAGATATGTGACTGATAAATGATGAAGGTATAGATAGATGGGTAGGCAGCAGATAAATATTAATCTCACGTATGCGAGGTTTTTTCTTGTCCGTTCATCCCTATTAAAGATCTCACAAACTGTTCTACTGCATGTTGCTATACTCATCTTCTCAGCTTCAGAGTGATATGTAGCACAGAAATAGGCAGTTCATAATAGCTTTTAAGAGTGAATAAACATTAATAACAAAGGAATTATCCTCATTCTTTCTTGTTTCTGAAACTTCTAAAAATTCTACGACCAGTCTTAATAACTGTGACTGACATAGTTCTATCTGTATTTATTTCTCGATCTATGGAACTGCATTGTAAAAGAATGTTCTTCACTTTGCTGCCATAAACACACAACATTAGCCATCCTACTCCTAATGAGTATCAGCGACAAATATATTTGTTACTTCTGGCTGGTTTATTTCTTAACATTGCTTATTAATCATGTAAAAGGGGTTAATTTAAAATTCTGTAAAATTTAACCTGAAATCTTGCAATTTTTTTTTCTACTGTAAACTTGATCTACGCACACACAGCTGGCTTGCTTATATTTCAGAATTGGAAACATTTGAAAATTCTTACAAGCTTCTTGTCTTTTGTCTTTCAGATTCCACTAGCATACATTCAGGTAAGCATGTAAGACATTTCATAATTAGAAAGAACCCTATCAATTGGGAGGGAAATGTCCTTATCTGAGGGGTTTTTGTAATATTTCAGAGAAATTGTCAGTAAGGGTCAAATTTTCAAACTCACTTGGGGCAGGATGGTTATAATTCACCCCTAGTCTCTTCCTTAAACACCACTCCATCTGTTCTCTTGTGGATCACAATGGCTCTCACTGATGATTTCTAAACTGTCTCCAATGTCCTAGGCACTCTAGTAAATTCTGATTTTTCCATAGGACCCCAAAGGAAATCGCATTGCACAATGGCAGAATCTCAAGTTAGTCAGTGGCCTCGAGCAGTTGTCCCTTCCCCTCTCATCAGAGCCCTTCGAGGGCTCCTACAGAGTGGTGGTACAGAAGAAATCAGGTGGAAGGACGGAGCACCACTTCACTGTAGAGGAATTCGGTAGGGTCCACTGAATGTAACTGAATTCTTTTCTTCAGATTTAAATGTTGGGGGCCTAGAATTTGAACTCATCCAAAATATTTCCACTTCCCATAGATAAATCTTGGCTTAGAAGAAAATCAACATTATCTAAGTCCAATGATCTACTACTTGGGATATTTTTGCAGTAATAGTATTTTAAAACATTTTAAATATCCCGGTTTTGGCACATCTTCCATAATTCATTAAGGTTATAGTGAAGTGATCTAATCCTTCAACCAAAACTTTCAACCAATATTTTCATTTACAAAAAAAGAGAAGTATTTATTTATTATTTTAGCGACAAAGAGAAGCAAAGATAAGGAGAGAGAGAAAGAGATCATCTCTCCATGGATTCACTGCCCAAATAACCACAGCAGCCTGGGTTGGGCCAGGCTAGAGCTAGGAACCTACAATTCTATCTGGGTCTCCAATGTGGATTTAGGAACTGAAATATTTGAACCATCATCTGCAGCTACCCAGGCACATTATTAAGGAGCTGGATTGGAAGTATTAACCAGGACTTGACCCAGCACTCCAGAAGAAGCCACACATTAACCAACTCTACCACAACATCCACTTCAAGATGTCCATTATTGAGTGAGGTGGACATGAGTATACTGGAAAACAGGACTCTCAAAGTCCTGAAATGCTATAGAGTATTGTGGCATGAAATCTGAAAATATTAACCACCTTCATACACACACACTTGAAAACAACTAATCAAAAATCTCCTTTATCACTGATCCATAGTGCTTCCCAAGTTTGAAGTCCAAGTGACAGTACCCAATACAATCACCATCTTGGATGAGGTGATGGATGTATCCGTGTGTGGTCTGTGAGTTCATTTTCTAACTATTATGAGGGACATTTTTAAGGGGTACCCACCATTTGGTATAGTTGGGCCATTTTCTCTGGCAGCAATAACAACTTAAATACTTCAGGTACTTTTGGGTTTGCATCTATCTCAAAAGTTCTGCTGCTTTTCAACTTTTCCTTCTTACCTCATATCCTTATTAGTATTACTATAATTATCATGGGCCAGGGGGATGGTTTCTAGAGGTTTTGCTAAGTAGGGCTGATCCTAAATGCTTCAAAGCTGTGTAGACACACCAAAAAAGGCATGATGGAAAAAAGATGGAAGGAAGGGAGCAAGGGGAAGAAGAAAGAGAGGGAGGGAGAAAAGGAAGGAAAGAAGGAAGGAAGGAAGGAAGTGAGGGAGAGAGGGAGGGAGGAAGAACAAGAGAGAAAAGAAGAGAGAAAAGGTTAGTTACTGTGGATCAGAACCAATGGGTAGAAAAGGAGGGTGCTCAATCTTGTTGTGGCCATGTTCTCATGACAGATACACATATGGGAAACCTGTTCCAGGAAACGTGACTGTGAGCCTATGCAGGATGTATAGCCACCCTTCCACCTGCTACCATGAAGAGTCCCAAGCATTCTGTGAGAAATTCAGTCACCAGGTGGGTAGAAAACCAGGCCTTGACTAAGGACTAACAACCGAAAACTCATTGGCAGGAGGTGAGTTGGCATACGGTGAAAAAACACACATCTCTTAGCCACTTTAACTGAGTAGCATATCATTCCTGCTGTCTTTCCATGAGCAGGAATTTGCCATATGGCCACAGCCACATGACAGGGAACTGGGAAGCATGATCCCTCACTGTGTGCTGAGAAAGATACAGTCACAGCTGAAGCTTCATGCTTCTGGGAGACTACCCAATATATTTAACATTTCTATATCATCCTCTCTAGAGAAATTTCAGATGCTAAGGGATATATTTATCCATAGGACCCCAAAGGAAATCTCACTGCACAATGGCAGAATCTCAAGTTAGCCTCAAAAATATAATATATAATATAAAATATAATATATAATCTCAGTTATACAAGGGTATTCAGAATTAGTGAAAATGGAATTCAAAGATAATTTTATTTTGGTGCAAAAGAATTGAAATTCATAATTTTTCCAAGTATGCATTTTCCATGAACTTTTTGGGAACTCTTCCTAAAAGGACTATTATCCTGAAATGTTAAATATTAATTGTGTTCATATCTCCAACTTAGAAAATGCCTATGTAAGTTGCCCTCCCCCAAATTTCACCAGATTTAACTATCACTGATCTTATCATCAAGATAATATGCATTATATTTTTGTATTTTACTTTCTCTCCTTTTAGCTAAACAGTCACGGCTGCTTCTCTTGGCAAGTAAAAACCAAGGCCTTTCAGCTGAAGCAGGAAGGCTATGATATGCAGCTGTCTGTTGAGGCCACAATCCAAGAAGAAGGAACAGGTCTGTGCACCACATGAGTGTGGGAGAAAGACCACACTGAATGATGGTTTATTTAAATTGTGCATTCCAGTTTATGAAAATTTCCATTTCATTATTCCTATAAAACTTTTTTGTTTTTATTCTTCACTGTCAGGAGTTAAATTAACAGGAAAAGCATCCAGCAAAATCACAAGAACCATCACTGAACTCTCATTTGTGAAAGTGGACTCATACTTCAGACCGGGGATACCCTTCTTTGGAAAGGTGGAGTACTGTATCATTCACAAGTGAAAATATACACTGTTCATTCACTTAGCACAACAACATGGTCTGTGATAAGATCTTACCTGGTTCATCACATTGACTAATGTAACCAAACAAGTAAAACCACTGAAAAATAGAACCTCCATTAATTCACAAAATCTTTGCTAAGCCCCAGTGCGGCAGAGATTGGGTGCAGTGGTTGACATTGCTTAGCATCCCAGCATCCCACATTGAAGTGCCTGGACTTGACTTCCGGTTCCAATCTCTGTTCAAGCTTTGTGCTAATCACACTCTGAAGCAGTACTTGAGTCCCTGCCTCCCATGTAGGAGACCCAGGTTGAGTTCCAGGCTCTTGGTTTTGACCTGTGTCACCCTCAGCTGCTGTGGGGATTTAGAGAATGAACCGGCAGACAGAAAACCTCTATCTTTCTGCTTCTCTGTCTTTCAAATGACAAAAATAAATAAATATTAGGACAGAAAAACTATTTTAAACATACCTTATCAAATTGTGTAGGCTTTTCACTTCTCAAATATCATTGCCTGATGTTACTCCACCTCCTTCTCACACTTTTATATCACTTTTTCACAAAAATCTTAAAAATTAATGATGTCCAAATGTTATGCCTCAAACATTTACTTTTCATGAAAGTGTACATGATACTGACTTTTATTTTTTGCAGTGTTAAGAACTTTACTATCTATTATTTTCCTTCCATGGCATCACCTGAAATAACCACAGCCTGGTTGGAGAATCAAAGTTAAACTGTACTCAGAAGTCAAAGCCAAGAGTTAACCCTGGAACAGCCATGCTGGTTCTCATGCTTTTATTTGGTTATAAACTTTGTACTTTTTCTTATAGCATGAGTACGTGCATTAAGTCAGATTAAATGAAATTGTGTCCTGGTTAAATTTTTAAAAATTAAATTTAGATTAAATTAAAATTTGAATTTCAATTAAAAATTGTGCCCTACTCACACTAAAAATCAAAGGAGGAGTGGTGCACATTTGGCTATGGAACAATGCAAAGTTCCTGATTTCAAGGGGGAGGCAAACCATGGGATTGTTCATCCTTTTTTCTATCATAGCATTAAGACACACAGTTGACTCCATCTTAACACACTGCAGATGTTTCCTGTCTCAGACTCTGCTGAGAGTCAGGCTGGGTCTGTGGGATTCCCTGTAACTGAGCTCCCACTAAATTCAGTCTCCTCAGTCATCACCCATTGCTCAAATCCACAGTGGATATTACATTTACATTCGTCCTCTGTGATAACAAACATGTACTTTAAAAGGTGCAAACTTTGGAGGAAAATGTGATTTCAAGTTTTTGGACTTGAAATACACAAATTTTCTCATATATCTACCAAAAACAACCCTTCTACTGTGATTTTTTTCCATCGTAAGAAGATAGGCACATTGATCCTCCTGACCTCAGCTTTCTGAGATTACAGAACTTCATGTGTAACCACATGGGGAGTTTGTTCTTAATGGAAATGTTACAGTACTTCATCTGTGGGGGATGGGGGAGACAGGAAACTAGACTCAGCAAAGCGGAGTGTTTACAGAAGATTTGGCATGTTATGACAGCAACATATATTCAGAAATTTTAGCTTAAATGTCACTTCCCAAAATGAAGGACTATTTTTAAGTTTCTCAGAAATATGTATTACTTTTTCAAAGTTGCATTTTTTTTTTAAAGGCAGAGGGAGACAGAGAGAGAGGGAGAGGCCCACAGATCTTGCATCTGCTTGATCATTCCCAAATGGCCACAGCAACCAAAACGGGGACAGAGTGTGCCAGGAGTCAGGAACTCCATCCAGATCTACCATGTATGTGGCAGAGATCTAGTACCTGGGCCATTGTCTGCGTCTTTCCATGCTGGATTAACAGATCGCTGAATCGGGAGCAGAACAGACGGAAGGCAGATGTAGCAAGCAGTGGCTTTCCTCACTGTGCCACAAGGGTGGCTCCAGGATTGTAACTTTCAATATTTTATCTCTACTAAATAACATCATACACATCTCTCACTAGAAAAGGAAGAACCACAATCATGTGCATGTTCTTATCTTCTCACAGGCAGCCACATTCTCATTGGCAAGTCTAATTGCATCATGCAGTTATAGACACTACATCAGGTCATTCTGTTGTATCCTTTGATGTCAAAAGTGGTTTATACTGAAAATTGACCACCTTCTTTTACCATCCTAACTGGGCTACTCGCTCATCTGCAGAGTTCAATATCAGCAGTAATTTGGCTTTAGGACCTTTCTTAATATTATGATCCTCTCCCAAATTTTAAATATTTTGGGGGGAAATAAATCACTAGCTCTCTGTCTACCTTCTCAAGCTATAGGTTGAGAAGTACACAACAAATATAAACCTACTGGAGGAGCACACAGGACAATATGTTTTAAAAATGCTTATTTCTACACTTAGGAAACTTCAGAAAACTTCAGAATCTATAGGAAGTTAATAACACAACACGTGTCTGGAATTCAAATAGATCTGAACGGATTAAACATTTCAACATGGAGAGGCACTCATATTGATGATACAATGAGTATGTTTAGTGCTTCCTGGTTATTATCCATCTAACTGACCCACAATTATTAACCTTCAGGTGCGCCTAACAGACGGGAAAGGTAACCCTATGCCAAATCAGATCATCTCCATCACAGCAAATGAAGCTGACTATAAATCCAATGCTACCACCGATGAGAAGGGTGTGGTACAGTTCTCCATCAACACCACCAATGTTGTAGGCACCTCCTTGACGGTGCAGGTAAGTTGAGGAACTTTCTAACTGTCCTACGGAAAGAAAACTCTAAAAATCAGAAACAAAATGCAGGTCAACCATTTGAAAGTTTATGAAAAGGAAACAAACTTAAAAGTGTGAATTCTCTTGTAGCAACCTTGGTGGAAACAAAACATGAAGCAGCCGTAAAGGAAGACAGTGTGGCACTTAAAAAAATTCAAAAGCGTGATGACCTTAGGATCTAGCAATCTTATTTCCATGCACATATTCAGAGAAATGGAATACAAAATCTAAAGACATTTTCCATCCTTGTTCATAGCAATTATTCATAATCACTAAGTAGGAAGAACCCAAATATTCACCAATGATATTGTATCATTGTTGAGTTCTTTAGAGCCAAGATTTCTGATCTGTTTTTATGCTCTCTGCACAATTACTCACTAATATCATAAGCTGTACTCCTCATTTCTTTGAATTACTCATCTATATTTTGCTTAAATGTCATTAATTGCTCTTTAAAATCATTGCCTTTAAATTCTTTGTCAGGCAGTTTGTTCATTTCCATTTCTTTTTGGTTTGCTGTTGGAAAGTTACTGTGGACACTTGGAGAACTCATTCACCTCTTCTCCTCCCTGCATCTCTTTCTTTCTTGCCTTCTTCAGTGCAGAGTTCCTTATTATTGTACTGAAACCAAGAAGGTTGGCCCTCACATCTACTACTGTAAGTCTTATCAAGATGACTTAGCGTGTGAATAGCTTATAAATTTGATGTCCCTATAGAGATAGGATTGGTGGAAAACCAGTCTCCACCTTCATCTACCTTTAACAATTAGCACTGGGCTTCAAAAATATACATGTACTTCATAAATTCTTATCTGACTTTTGTCTTGATATTCCAATTTTCTCAAATGGCCTGCCCATACACATGTAACTTATATTAAATGGTGTAGAGTCCCCTGATCACCCCTAGAGATACACAACATGTGTTACAGAATCAAGGTGTGGGAAAACTCTTGGCTTTTGGGAGTCTTCATGTTATTGATTCGCCTTTAAATAGATGCATAAAAGCTTATACCTCTAACTGTTCAAACCTGAATGTACACCCATTTCTCTGCCCTGAATGTGTTCTGTGTTCCAGGATGTATGTTAGTCCTGACTATCAAAATATTATTAACTAATTAATTAATTATTATTTTTAAGTACTTCCTCTTTCTCAATGATCATACACACACACATATATTCTTGCTAGAGCATATTCTGAAATATGACAAAGTGTTTTGCTGGCAAAAATATTATTCTTGCTACTTGGAACCTCAGTAAAGGTTGAGTAAGTCCAGCAAGATCTCAAGAATAAATTCTGGACCAATCTACCCAGCAGCAACATGCCCAAGTTTTACTGTGATTACTGCAACACATACCTCACCCATGACTCTCCATTTATGAGAAAGACACACTGCAGTTATAGGAAACACGAAGAAAACATGAAAGACTACTATTAGAAATGGATGGAGAGCCAACAGCTGTGTTTCAGCAAGAAGAGATATCTCCTACTCCATTCTCTGCTCCTCCACCTGCAGCGACACGATCCTATCCCCCCAGCCTCCTGCCCTGAGTCTGCCAGGTCCTCCTCACCTTGGTATGATGCCAGAACTCCATATGGGAGGTCCTCCCATGATGTCAGCGATGGGCCCTCCTCCCCTGGGCTGATGCCAATGGGACCGGCTCTTGGAATGAAGCCACCCATGGGAGCCAATATGCCAATATCGGGGTCCCTAGTGAAACCTCCTTCCTGTCCCATGATGGTACCCACTTCTCCCAGCTAAGGAGAGCGGGGGAGCCTCCTCTGAGCAGTTCTGTGTCACCTGTTCTGCTTCACCAGGAGACCATGGTGCTGTGACTCTGTGTTTTCTTACAGCATGACAAAGATGATCCGCTCTCCTTCCCTATTAACAAAAATAGTTTTGAAGGGCAGAAGTGGGGTTTTAAAAAGTGAAATTTTCATTTGTGCTGTGAGATGTGAAAATGAAACTGTCAACTCTTTCAGTTAAAAAAAGAAAAAGAATTTCTGTATGAATAAAAGTTGGAGCTACAACTCAGGTGGGGTCTCAGAGCCAAAAGAATCCACAATTGTAGGAAGCATCCAATACCATCAGCCTTACATCCAGAGGGGTAGATGACCTCAGTGAGTTTGTCCATTCAATGTTAATGCTCTTTACTGAAAGATTTTTTTCAGAACCTTGGGGCTAGCATCATCTATTCGTAATATCTAGTTGAAACCCATCATAAAAGTGGTGGGAACTTTCTGAAGCAGGAGTCTTCAATTCCTACAAAATGAGCCTTCTTAGTTCCAAATCTATCTGCCAAAAATACATGAAAAGGCAAAGACACAAAAGATTCCTCCTGTTACACGGTTCAGAAACATACATAGCAAGGCCAGGAGACCCTGCAGCATAAAGACACAACCATGTCTGTGTTTGACACACATAAACAAAATAAGGGTTGCCTTTCTCCCTTGATCTGAAGCAAAAGATGTCCAGCGTCTAGTTAAGGTCGGATGTAAGCTCACGCAGTTCTGTGAGAACATTGATTTTTGTGTGTGTGTGTGTGAAATATAATCTACAAAATAATGTTTTCCTAACTCATTAGGCCAAATACAAGAGTGATTCCAACTGTTACAGCTACAGATGGCTGTCTGCAGATCATAAAGCAGCACATCACACTGCTCACCTCGTATATTCCCGGAGCCAAAGCTTTGTCTACCTTGAGCCAGTGACTAAAAAACTACACTGCGGAGGAACTTTTATGATCCAAGCACATTACGTTGTGAATGAACACGTTCTACAGGAGCTCACCATCCACTACCTGGTAAGAACAGTTGCTGAACTGACTCCTGTGCAGCCCAAAGCTCTCTGGGAGTCAAGCCATCAGAAAGCTCCTTAGACAACTCTCTGATTTCCGATTCAGGTTCCCTTGAAAGTTTGACTTTTCATGGGATTTGTTATTGCCAGCCCAGGCTCAAAGAAATAAGCACCACGTATAGAAAGTAAGACTAAGATCTTTATCAGGAAAATGGAATGGCTTTATCCTTCTGTTCTTTGTAGATAATGGCAAAGGGAGGCATTGTCCGAGCTGGGACTCATGTTGTGCCCGTGGAGCCGGGCAGTGGTGAGTATTCGCGTAATCTCCACCCTCCTGACCCCTTCCCAAACATCCGAGCCTTACACGACAGAAATATCAAAAAGTTCTTCTAATCACAATAACAAGGAGGAAATGTACTAATATTTTCACTCTGTGTTGAATACTTGCTTTTGTTTTTTCAGCACATTCCATTTTAGATTATTGGCAGTGTTGATGTTGTTGTGATGATCAATACTTATTCCGAGCTTCTAAACCACAGATATTCACTGACCCTCGTCTCAAAAAGTTGTGAAGTGTGGATTGTGTACCATATCTTGTACTGTCATTTATATACCTATTTTGTTTTTCCTTCTAAAATAGTTATGATTTATGAAGAGTTAAACTGAGTACTTCCTTCATTGTCATAGACTTGCCTCATGAACAAATATGAAAGAAATAGAACTCTATGACAATTTCCCTTAGCTGAATGGTATCTGAAAGACGACTTTCTAGACACCTCAATGAGCCATGTTCTGGTTGCATCTTCGTAGTAACACAGAAGCACTGTCGTGGAGTTAGGAAAGCTTTATGCAACCTCTGCAAATCTATGCAAGCATTAAACATAACTTCTGGGGAGACGTAATAATATTCCTCTTGAAGACAAAATTACTATAGTTGCTACATAAAAATGTTAAGGAGGATGCAAGCCTGAATACAATGTCAAGTCCTCTTGTCTTCTAGAGTAACTTCTCATGAAACAACAATGAAACAGAAGTCTTCAAACACTGACATAGCATTAGAACACTACATAGATGAGCCAACTTGATGAACTAGTGGTAATTCAGTATATGGCTTATATAGGAAAGACGGGCTTTGGGAGAGGTTTCTCTTCTCAAGCTGGAGTTCTTAGAGGTAGACATCCTTTATATACTGCCTAGCAGTTCTACTAGCAGAAAGGCTTCATCAAAATTCTCAAATAACCTTGAATAAGAAAAATTAATTCATTTCAGCCCTTGGAGACGGCTAACCTGGACTCACTCTCCCATTTTCTCTGTGCAGCCGTGAAAGGACATTCTTCGGTGTCAATCCCTGTGGAGTCAGACATGGCTCCCATCGCTAGGCTGCTCATCTTCATCGTTTTACCTGACGGGGAAGTGATTGGGGATTCTGAAAAATATGAGGTGGAAAACTGTCTTCCCAACAAGGTAAGTACTTTCTATCATAAAATGTCAAAATATAAAACTGTGAATACTGGATGGCAATCAAAAAATAAGTATAATGGTGGTGGGCGTTTGGCGTGGAAGTTAGTGTCGCTAGGGGTGCTTGTACTGCCTGTGTGAGTAGCTGGGTGGAAACCCTGGCTTTGCTTCTCATCCAAGTTTCCTGCTTATGAAAAAAGTGAAAGCAATCAGGTGACGGCTGAAATAACTGAATCTATGAGAGCCACGTGGGAAACTCCACATTCCTGACTCCAAGTTCTTGTAGCTGTTTGTGGAGTAAATCAGTGGATAAGGGTGCATGTCTTTTCTCTCTCTTTCTCTCTAAATTAATAAGACAGTAGGTAAAGAAATTAAGAGATTCTTACAATAGTTACACTGATTCTTGACAATCTAACTGAAACACAAGGGTTTAAAAACCGTCAGAACTGACGTCATGCCAGCTGCCAGAAAGTCCAGCCATGCAGTTGCCCATTGAACATAAACAACCAGAAAATGCATGTGGATACTTGGTTAAATGAAGACTCTTTTTTTTTTTCTGACTTTTCCCTCCAATTAGGTGAATTTGGGCTTCAGGCCCAAACAAAGTTTCCCAGCTGCCCAAGTCCACCTGCAAGTCACGGCTTCGCCTCAGTCCCTCTGCGCCCTCCGGGCTGTGGACCAAAGCATGCTGCTCATGAAGCCTGAGGCTGAGCTCTCTGCGGCCTCGGTGAGTTCCCGTCAGCCTCGGGGATCTGCAAGGACTTGGGGGTGCTCAGAGAAGCAAGAAATGCTCATTTGAATAGGATAAGATTATAGAACTACATTTTATACACAACCTACTAGTTTTGAGGTCTTATCTGTGTGCTTCCTTCAGGGAGAAAAACACATTTTAATCATATTTTAATCCCAATTTAATCATATTTTCCATGCTGACATACGCACATTCATATATATCTATATTTATATATCCATATGATATCATATATATTCATACACATATATTTAATAAAGTATATAATAGATTTTATATAATATATAATATATAATGTAAATATGTTTATTTACATGAATTTCTTGAACTCATATATATGCAGATATATATTCATATATATATATGTCTACACACATATATGTAGATGAGTTCCAAGAAATTTATGTAAATATAACTGAAATAAATTTGTACTGATGTCCATTTTTCCACAAGTGTTTTAAAACACACACACACATACTTCAAAAATGTTCATGGGAAGAAATGGAGTTGAAAGAAAAGTTCATTTTGCTGTAAACATTTTGAAATTTATACATGACCGTTTTCATAAGGTAAATTCTCATGAACTTTTTAAAGGCCCCCATATATACACAAACGCACACATACATACACAAACCGCATTAGTTTTTGCAGATTAAAAAAAATGAAATTCAAAAACTGTACTGGTTAGTATACTGACTCAAATAATTTTTAAAATATAAAAGATGATCTTAAAATTAGCCCCGCAAAATAACTTGTAATTCAGATATATTAAATTTCTAACTGAAGATCATGTGGCAAAAGACACCCAAACTTGACTGCATTAAGGCCACCCAAAAACGCATGGCTGCAGAGAGAGCAGGTGGGCTGTGCAGTCAGAGGGGTGGGGATATGCAAAACACAAGGGATGATTAACTTGAACGCATCAGGGATGTGCATTGTAAATTTTACATATTTTTACATTGTGCATATCTATTTGCATAATGTGTATATGTGTTATATCTACATATGGTGAAACAGAGGCCACTCTGCAAACTCCCTGACATCTCAGAGTTTCATCAATCCAATAAAAGGTGTTTTTTGTCCAACCAGTTTAATCAGTTTGAAAACCCAACAGAAATGATACACTGGTGTGAGCTAAGACTATACAGGCTAAATTAAATATCAACCTCCTGTTTTTATGAAAGTTAAATTTTTTAAAAAAATGATGCCTGAATTTGAATATCATTTCTCAAGGAGATAGATATTGTCTCTGCTGAACAAAAATTGGGAGAAACTAATGACTAGATAATTGCCATTAATCTATGGAATATCTTAAAGTAGAAGTTAATAGAAATAGCAACAGTATACTATAGTGGAACAGCAAGAAATTAACAGCATGTACTGTTAGTATTTTGCTCATATCTTAATATTTTCAACATGAAGCCACACAGAATCAACTCTACTAAAGTTTCTCTTATTAAAACTTTACAAAGATTTGTTTTTTCTTTCCCAAAGTAGGGACATCCAGAAGCTATTTCTTACTTTTTCATCCCTCCAGTGGATTTAATTGAAAACTTTAGAATACTTTGAAAGGAAATATCAAGTACGTTTCAGTAGTGGAAGCCAACAGATGTTTAGAAATTTACATAAGGCTTTTTAGACTTCTATAGTATAATTACATACGATGCTCATAAAATTATAACAATTCTGCTGGACAAATCAGGCAGATTGTCCTATTTAATTTGTTAATAATACAGCAGAATCTTTCAAGTGTATAGTAGCAGACCTAAGTGAAAACATCAGTTCCTCTTAAGACCTTCAGTTAGCCTTTTGCCAACGCAAACAGATTCCTTGTAGTTAGCAAATCGTTCATTCCAGGTTTACTTATTCAATGCACACTGTGTTCAAGCCATGATAGCAAGTGCTGAGATTCTGACCATGAAACACTAGAGACAAAAACCCATGTCTTCTGGAGCTTCTACTTTCACACTGAGACGGACAATAATCATATAACATTTAGAGGAAAAGAAAGCAGGGTGGGGAGATGGGGAATGGTGTTTGGAGGAACTGCCTATCAATTTTGTTTTGACACCGAGTGTGTAACACAGCACATATATCTGCTTTTATACATCTGTCTTACTTCTCCCCTTCAAATGGATCTGAAAGTACCATTTCCAGTATCTTACAGTTACTATCCTAAGTTTTGAGTGACTATCTGGAGAATCTGTTTCCATAAATAATATTTAGAAAATATCGTTGTGTCCTATATAGAAGACAGCTACAGTATTTATTCTCGCGCCTGTTTCAAACAAGCAGCCACTAGCTAGCTTTGTTGTATACTTGCTAACCAAAACACTGCAACAAAAATGTCATTTCACTCTATCATCACAAAACTTGATGTCACTATCACCTCTAATGTTTGCGACGGAGCTGTGTGGACAAAGTAGGATGATAATGGAGCACTTAGGGCATCTTCGATTTTTGTTCCCTAAAATTTCAAAGCACCTTCGACATGAAAACATCGTTTACGGGAAATAATCTACATTGTCTTTATAAAACGTCAAAGCAATGGGAACACTGTACACAAGGCTGATGAGGATTCTTCCTCTTTTCACCTTGGAATTAAAATATATACATATATGTTTATATGTATGTATATATAGACATATATATATATATATACACACACACATACATACATAAGTAAGCCACAGATACATTTGCCTTTGTCCTCTGCATTTATACAGGTTTATAACCTACTGCCCGTCATAGACCTCACTGGCTTTCCTGAAAGTTTGAATCAGGAGGAAGATGATCAAGACTGTGTCCGTGTCCACAATTTGCTGATTAACGGAACTTTGTATTCACCAGTACCAACCACAGATGGAAAAGACATGTACAGTTTCCTACAAGTAAGCCACTTACACTTCACACGGGCTCAGTTTTTATGGTTCTTAAAATATTATACAGGGAAGGCATTCTTTTTATTTAAGATGTATTTATTTGTTTGTATTTGAAAGTCAGGTAAACAAAGAGGAGAAAAAGAAAGATGTTCCATCTGCTGGTTCACTCCCTAAGTGACTGCAACAGCCAGAGCTGAGCTGATCCAAAGCCAGGAGCCAGGAGCTTCTTCCAGGTCTCCCACATGTGTGCAGGGTCCCAAGGCTTTAGGCCATCCTTGACTGCTTCCCCAAACCATAAGCAGGGAGCTGTATAGGAAATAGAGCAGCTGGAACATGAACTGGCGACCATATGGGATCCCAGTGCATGCAAAGTGAGGACTTTAGCCACTAGGGTATGCCACTGGGGCCAGGAATTCTTTATTTCAATGTCTTTGTACCATGGATGAGGGTTAACAGAACAGAGATGAAGTGACACCCCCAAGGACACTAATAGTAAAACGCATGCCAAAATGATGGAACCAGGACTGGTACTTTGTGGAATATTAATAAAGTTTTCTTTTTAATAAAAATACATTGCTTTGTGATATTTATTAATATCACATATATAAAATAATTACATTCAAAGAGTTTAGAGTATAAAATGAGATTATCACCATGTTAACATCCCTTCTATAAATGTGACTATTAAGTTTGCAACAAAGTTTTTTGGAATATGCCATTAAAAGTAATATATGCCTCAGACCCAGCACGGTGGCCTAGGAGCTAAAGTCCTTGCCTTGAACACACTGGGATTCTGTATGGGGCCAATTCTAATCACTGCTTGTGGCCTGGGAGAACAGTTGAGGACGGCCCAAAGCCTTGGGACCCTGCACCCGTGTGGGAGACCTGGAAGAGTTCCTGGCTCCTGACTTTGGACTGGCGCAGCTCCAGCCATTGTGATCACTTGGGGAGTGAATCATTAGACGGAAGATCTTCCTCTCTGTCTCTCTTCCTCTCTCCTCCTCTTTATATAACTGACTTTGCAGTAAAAGTAAATAAATAAATCTTTTTAAAAGGAAGTATATGCCTCTATATTTTAATATATTTATATTGATTAGGTGATAATTTTCTTTGCAGGATATGGGCTTAAGGGTATTCACTAACTCAAACATTCGTAAACCCAAAATATGTTCACTGTCTGAAGAGACTGCAATAGCCTCTCGTCATTATTCAGGTAAAAAACTTATAACCTTATTTGGTTAATATAATATAAATCAAACAAAGGAATTTTAAAAGACAAAACGTCACAAAAAAATAATGTAAACAAGACTTGCATTTCAGATAGTTTAAGATTCTTGCTAAAGGTCTCATGGTAACACAAAGCAAGGTCTGTGCAACTGGAGAGAATGCAAGGCTGACTTTGAAAAGCGCAGTTAGAGGTTCAAAGCTGCAAAAGAGAAGAGAACATCTGCTTCTGGGAAATGGAGTTGCAAAGAGAACATTTCCAGGCACAGCATCAATCTCAACAGAGACAGAAATAACCACAGCACAGGGTCACACGCTCGTGAGTCAGGCAGCGAAGTTCCTCGGCTTTGTTAAACATCACACAGTAAGGAGGCATTTGTTTACAGTCTTACATTTTCACATGGCATTGGAAGGTGAGCTCAGACAGAAGAATATAAAACGCTGGGGCAGGCCTTGGGGCTGGCAGGTCCCCGGCTGCCTGTGTGCCTGCATCTCGCAGCAGAGTGCCCGGTGACCCAGCCAGCCACCTCCTAACGCACATCCTGAAGGGCAGCTGGATCCCTGACATGGGAGACCCAAGTGGAGCCTCAGTGTCTTGACTTCATTCTGGTTTACACTGGTTATTCCATGTATGGAGTGAGCCAGTGGATGAAAGAAGTCTTTCAAATAAATACCTATTAGCTCAATAATAAAACTTTAGAAAACCCAGAGAAGTATTCACTGAGAAACAATTGATTATGTATAAGATTGTGTGAAGATTATTTCAGATTCATTTATAACATGTTCTGTAATGCTTCAGCAGTAAGGTTTATAGTAAATGAATGTATGTAAAAACACATATTTCCCTCTCCAGCAGAAACGGTTAATGGTAGAGTTTGTTCCAATACTTGAGAACAGAGCTGAAGACTTTCCCATGTTACACGAGTGCCCTCTGCTGGTTACTCTCTATTTCAACACCCTACTTGCTGATTGAATGCAACTTCTTACAATATCTTTCCTATTATCCTTGTCTTTTTCTCAGCCAACATAGTAAGGCTGAGTAGTGACGTAGTTGAATATGATTCAGCGTACCATGTTTCTCAACCAACGGCCGATGCTACGGATTCTTACAGAGAAACAATCAGAAAATATTTTCCTGAGACGTGGATTTGGGACCTAGCGGTGGTGGAGTAAGTAGCTTACTTCATAAGTAGGAAGTGTATATATTTAATATACACAATGTTAATATACACAATATATACAGAGTACAATGTCTGATATGTGTAATTTATGTATATAACAGTAAATTAAAATATTTATAAATTAAATAAATGTATAATATTAAATTAAATAATACCTATGCCTCACAATGCTTGATTACAGACTAACGCTTAATTACAGACTAGCTCTTATCTTTGTTGCATATATTTGGGTAATTGGGTGCACAGTATATTTTATATATATACGTGTGTATATATATATATATATATTATCACACTGTTACCCTTTTCTGAATGTGTGATAAGAGCACCTAAAATCTACTCCCTTTTCAAACTCCCAGTTGATAGCACAGTATTATTAACTACATTGTTCATAAATGTAACTTTGTGTGTTTTGATCTGCATCTCCCCAATCCACCCAAATTGCCCTTACACACTCAGTCGTACCTTTTCACCTTTTGATAGATTCTACATGCAAATTTCTTTATCCACTCATCCACCAGTAGTCTGTTTCCCATCCTATTCTTTGACTCTTGTGGATAAATACACAATGAACATGGATGTGCAGGTGTCACAGGGGATGCTTAGATCAGTTCCTTCGTTTTTATACCTGGAAGAAGGTATCGAGTCAGATGCCAGCTCCAATTTTTCTTTTCTTATTTTGAGGACTCTCCATACTGCTTTCCACAGTGACTATATGATCCACATCCCACCACCAGTATAAAAGGTCCTTTGGTATACCTTCACTATCACTTGTTATGTCTTCTTTAATAGGTGTGACACTTTCTTGCAGTTTTGATATGCATATTCTTAATGATGATTAATATTGCTAATTTTATGTACCTATGGGCCTTCTTTATGGCTTTTGGAAAAAAAGTGCTTATCCACGATTTTGTCCACTTTTTAAAAAGGAATCATATATTTTCCATTGAATTACATGAACTCTTTATATTTTGAATATATGTTAACTTTCAATTCCTTATATACTTTGAATATTAGTCCTTCATCAGATATATAGCTTGCAAATATCTTCTCTTAATCAATAAGCTACTTTTTCATTTTCATGGTTGTTATCTTTGCTGGAACCACTTCTCAATTTGATGCAATCCATTGATCTATTTTTTGCTTTTGTTGGCTGTGCTGTTTATGTCGTGCACAAGAAAAAAAAATTGCCTGTATCAATGTCAAAAAGATTTTTTATATATATATCTAGTTTCACGCTTTATGTCTGCCTTGAGGGAACAGGGGGAACTAGAAGACGAACAAGAGTATTGCTAATAGAATCAAGCACATAGCTTTGACGTGGTACCCTTGGAGAGCGGGTGCTAAAAAGAGGGAAATTTGGATACACACGAGCATCACTAAATCACTCTAAACCTCTGGGAAGCTGGGCAAGTGGGGGAAGCTGAAGATTAAGTGAGCCGTATTAGGCCTTTTTCCAGGAGGTTTTAAACAGAAAGTTGGTTTTGTTGGGAATTTAGGATGGTTGTTTGTAGTTGAGGGGTTCATTTTCTGCAGACTTGTTGAACAAATACTGTGTAAAGTCCTTTTTGGGTGCACTTCCCCTGGGGTTAAAATTTTTCAAAGAACCTCCTCATTTCTGGTTCTATCTATAAACTGTTTAAGGCTGATTCTGACACGGCTGAATTTTTCCTGTCATTTTAGCAGTTTCTCTCCTCTTAATGAAATTGATTGAATCATTCCTTTTTTAAAGAGGTCAGCATTTCCTTCTCCAGTGTTCTACTCTCTGTTCTCGACATTTCTACGCTGTATATTCAAGTCATGAGAACAGGCTCATTTGTATGTGTTTTCTGTCTAGGGAGCACTTGTTTAACTGTGGTATGTTCTGTTCATCACACTGTCCTCCCCAGCTCCTCAGGTGTGGCTGAACTGGGGGTCACAGTCCCTGACACCATCACGGAGTGGAAGGCAGGGGCGTTCTGCCTGTCCAATGAGACAGGGTTTGGCCTGTCTCCCACGGCCTCTCTCCGAGCCTTCCAGCCCTTCTTCGTGGAGCTCACACTGCCCTACTCTGTGATCCGTGGAGAAGCCTTCACACTCAAGGCCACTGTGTTAAACTATCTTTCCAAATGCATCCAGGTAAGGAACTTTCTTTCCAGAACTGGACACAAGGTAACTTCCAGGTAGGAAGGCTAAAAAAAAAAAAAATCATCGTACAATATATGCACATTGGAAGAAGATATTGATATTGATAGTATTCTGACAGATAGAGGTGGGTATATATGTGTAAATATATGTATAGATATATAATTTGTGATAGAAGTCATAATTGCTGAAACCCCCAGATACCAAATTTCAACTTAAAACAAATCTCTAGTCCTTACCATAATGCTTTCAAGATAGATAGCTTATGCAACCTGAGGATTACCCACATAGCAATAAAAATCAGTACTCTTCATGCTCAAGTAGCATTTCCTCTACAGATTCAACCTCTATATTTTAATGTATTTAGACGAGATCGGGCGCGTTCAGGGTGGTATGGCCGTAGACATTTTTTAATGTACTTAAATTTCCACCCTTTGTCGATTATATTAAATGTTTTTTTTTGTTATTTTTTAGTTTATTTTTCTTATTTTCCATGATACAGTTTTATAGGTATAAGGATTCCACCCCTTTCCTCCTCACCATTTCCCCTTATATTATTGCAGTAGCACTGTCTTTTAGTTGTAAGTTTAACATGCTGCTATTTAAGGACATCATGGCAGTGTAGAAAATCTAGTATCATATTGTCAGGGTATATTTAACTGTTTCACTGGGAGTCCTCCTTTGCTTTCGGAGTAGAGATGCCTACTGCAATGGTATCTTCTTATTTTCAAAGTTGTTTGTAAGAAACTTATCTGCTGAAACAATGCTTTATAAATCTTACTCTGTTCTCTACTGGACAACCTGGGGCATGCTCAGGATTTGAGGCCACCTCTTTTACAGTCTCATCATGTGAAATAACAGGTTACCTCAAAAATACACTAACATCCAGACATCAGAGCCACCTAATATTCTAGAAGTAGTCTGTATTTGTCGACAGTGTGTTCAGTATCAGGCAACCTGAACTCTAACCAATCATTGCACGTGGTTGCTCTCAAACCCTGCTTTCCTCTGGTCTCTGTTTCTAACCTCTTTGTCTCATCCGTCCTTACAGGTCAGTGTGCATCTGGAAGCCTCTTCCCTGTTCCTTGCTGTCCCAGTGAAGCAGGAGCAAGAGTCTTACTGCATATGTGAGAATGGGCGGCAAACTGTGTCCTGGACAGTAACTCCCAAGTCATTAGGTGAGGGAAAGGCCCCTAGAAGCCACTGTTTGCTCAAGGATTCATCCATGACGTCCGCGGATCTAACCTTGCATCCCTTGGGAGGTGACCCACAGAGTGGGATGCCACCTGTTTCACTCTAGGATGTCTAAAAGGTCAAACTCACTTTCCTGTCCCCATATCCACTTTGATTTGTTGTCTCATCAGACTCTCTAATTTAAGCAGCTTCCATCTCTGGTCTTGCTGTTTATGAAACAATGGCTTAGGGGCATGAGACATTTAAAATACTGAGTTTGGAAGCATGGGAGAAAGGGTTCGAAGGAACTCATCTCTACCGGCATTTTTTTTTTTCTCCTAGGAAATGTGAATTTCACTGTGAGCGCAGAGCACCTGGAGTCTCGAGAGCTGTGTGGGGCTGAGGTGGCTGTGGTTCCTGAACATGGCAGGAAAGACACCATCATCAAGTCCCTGGTAGTTGAAGTAAGTCAATCTGCCTGCTTGCTGCATGGCTGAGTCACACGAAAACATTGAATCAATTGATATTGTGACTTTCAGTTAAGAAAGACTAAATAAGATACAAAAACAGAATAAAAGATACTTGCTTTGGTACAAAAACAGTTTTTCAAGATATTCATAGATTTTCATGATATATTTTTTTCATGAACCCTATGCATATAACCCATAACAAATCCATTATAACATACACACGAACACTACATTAGTATTTCATAATACTCTTCTCTATTTATCTATTGTTTCTTTCTTTTTATTTATTTTCTGCTTGCTTTTCGATCTTTTAAGTTATCCCTTTTATACTGATTGTACTTACAGAATTATTTATCTGATTAGTTCAAATTCTCTTTTTATCATTCAGAAATCTGTGGCTACCCCAGCAGCACATGGGGCTTGTAAAATCATTCTTATCTCTAACCTTTCTTTCTTTCACCTAAAGCCTGAAGGACTGGAAAAGGAAGAAACATTCAACCTCCCACGTTGTCAACCAGGTAAGACTCAACTGTGATCATAAAAATGACATTAACTGAAGTTTGTCTAATATCTGAAAGCCAAAGACATTTTTATATTACATTTATGTATTCTCTAGAAGGTATGTATGACCTGAAATACAATCCACACACTTGATAAATGAGAAAGCTGTTCATAGGAAAACCAAGTATTTTGACCAGGAGGATAGCCTTTGCTTATGCATTCTGAGCCTCTATCTCTTGCAGTGTATGATGTGGGAATAAGTGGAAAATGAGTAAAACCAAATAAATATTTCTGAAGAGGGTATTTCCCTCAAATAATTATTACTATAACACACAGACATTTGAATTCAGGCTATTCTTACACTGAGCTTTGCACAACCGCAGTGTTTGATAACAGGACCATGCTACTTCCCAAAGAAAGAGGTGCAGTGACTTTTGATGTTTGCTTGATGACATCATGGTGTTTTTTGTTTTCCTTGGTTATTTGTCTTTCAGCCTTGATTGTGACACTCACTTTCTTACAAAAGTTTTAATGCTAATTCAGTGAGAAAAGGATATAGTATACAAATATACTACTTTCACACTCATTTTCATATAATTTACCAAGAACAAAATGAAAGAAAATACTGCATGAAATAGCCCATTGCTACAGCAGCCTGCAATTTCCCATTCTCACCTGTGGGTTCATTGTAAGGCACGTGAGTTGAGGGCAACACATTGTGTTATAAAGAAAAAAGGATCTGTATTATTTAAACAAAAATTTAAAATACGTTTCTTAGTATCAAATTATATTTCTAGAATCAGAGAGTATTCATTTTTACCCACTTGCCTTCATTTCAGGTTAGGAATGGACATTAAATAGATTACCTTGTTATCACTGTCTGATGGTATAGCCATAGGACAACTTCAATAGCACCATAATATCACTGAATTTTTGTCAACGTTTTCTTTTGAAAAAAAAATGGAAAGGGAAGGGAAAAAAGTGGAAAGAAGAGAAGGGAAGAGAAGGAAAGAAGAAGGGAAAGGGCAGGAATAAAAGAAAATGCAGCTCTATATCTAGGGAGCAAAGATGGTTGAATAAGAAATTCTGGAAACCTCAGAATCCCAGTGCCCCATATTTAAGGTAGTTTTATTTTTGCGAAATTTCCGCATGGTCCTCTTTCTGGCAGAGTGCCTCAGAAATACATATTGCAGAAATAACTCATATGTCTGACTGGTTTCTTTTCCTAGATGGTGAGTCAACTCATCAGTTCAGCCTGAAGCTGCCTCCAAATGTCATACAAGAATCGGCCCGAGCCTACGTATCCATTCTGGGTGAGTACCCAGCCATGGGTGGATTTGGGCATTAACAACTTCAACCACATTCCTTTTCCATTAATATATATTCAAAATCCCAAATGTAATTTTAACTTGCTTCTTCTGTCCTTCTTTTGGCTTGTCTATTGCTACCAACAATGTTTCTGTGCCCGAAAGACTCATTTTTTCCCTAACAATCTTTGTCACTAGATGAATAGTTTTTGAGAATTTACAATCTCTTAATTTTGTGACATTCCATTTTTCTCATTCCCTAGGAGACATACTGGGCTCTGCCATGCAAAACACACAAAATCTCCTCCAGATGCCCTATGGCTGTGGCGAACAGAACATGGTTCTCTTTGCTCCTAACATCTATGTTCTGGATTACCTAAATGAAACACAGCAGCTGACTCCAGAGATTAAGTCCAAAGCCATTGAATATCTCAATAGGGGTGAGTGATCCAATGAATGAGTTGCAAAGTAACAGTGTTACTTCAATTGAATTTCCCAATAGTCCTGACTTACTTATCCATACTATGGTATTTGCTTATTACCTGTAATGGCTACAATGATATTAACTTCATGAAAGCTATCCACTCCCCAGCTTCCAATAAATGTGTAGGTCTTAGAACTTGTTAATATGTGACAGAAACATTTAGGAAAGGTCACAAGAGAGGCCTCAGCATGAACACTGATTTATCCATTCTAGGATACCAGAGGCAGCTGAGATATAAACACCGTGATGGTTCCTACAGCACCTTTGGGGAAACACCTGGTGGGAATAAAGGCAATACCTGGTAAGGGAAGGTCTCATTTTTTGAGCTCCTATTCTTGTACCAGTCTTTGGATATATATTACCACAATATTCACAATAACCCAGTCATAATTGCACTATGAGACCTAGAGTTGGTTATATGAAATTAATACAAGGGTACCAAAGAAAAGAGAGATGATACTGAAATGCATGCTGTTATACTTCTTTCCAAAATTCATCCTGTTACCGATACACCAAGATATTTTCTCTAAAACAATTACTATTTCTAAAACAGTTGCCATTAGCCATGAGTTTTAGATGATTTGATCAGGGAGCATCTCAAATACTTCTGAGGTAGTTATGCTAATTTTAATCTACATTGTCTTTTATTTATTTTTATTTTTATTATAAAGTCAGATATACAGAGAGGAGGAGAGACAGAGGGGAAGATCTTCCGTGCAATGATTCACCCCCCAAGTGACTGAAATGGCCAGTACTGTGCCGATCCAAAGCCAGGTCTCCCACATAGGTGCAGGGTCCCAAGGCTTTGGGCTGTCCTCAACTGCTTTTCCGGGCCACAAGCAGGAAGCTGGATGGGAAGTGTGGCTTCTGGGATTGTAACTAGGACCCATATAGGATCCCATAGCATTCAAGGCGAGGACTTTAGCCACTAGGCCATGGTGCCGGGCCCACAATGCCTTTTAAAAAAATCATGTCAATGAAAGTAGCAATCCAAAGACAATGATATAAAATACTAGGTTTTAAAGTCCCTAAGATAAGGCAGCTTGGAAAAGGTTATTGTACAGTAAAAAAAGCCCATGAGGGTCTCTGACTCTAGAAGGATTCTAAAAAGAAGAGAGATTGAAGATCTTACTCATAGCTTAGAGAAAGGAAATTTTAAGTATTTGGACTCCCTGAGATAAAAAGAAAGTGAACTGGCAAAGAAATACTTGATAGAGTCATTAATCAAGGAGAATAAAGGAGTAAGAATTCAAAATTTGCAAGAGTTCTCTGCCAGATGGAAGAAATGTCCTAGAACGCCACTTGCTGTGAAGTAGCCATAAACCATTTTCATAACATCAATCTCATCCCCACTTCCTCCCCACTAGGCTCACAGCCTTTGTGCTGAAGAGTTTTGCACAGGCACGAGCATATATTTTCATTGATGAAGAACACATCAACCAGCCCCTCTTGTGGCTCTCCCGCAAGCAGAAGGATAATGGCTGCTTCAGGAAGTCTGGGTCACTGCTCAACAATGCCATGAAGGTGAACTGTTCTGGAGTTGCCTTCGATTTGTTCATTATGATGATTGCAAGGATGAAAAGAGGGAGTCATAATGTAGAACTGCCTAAGAGAGGGTATCAAAGAAAAGACCAGGAAAGAGGGGATGGAATTTAGCTGGGGTAGGATGCTTTGCCCTGTGGGGATGAATACGAGTAAGGTTAAATTTCATGACCCGGAAGAACTTAGAAGTTGAGTAACTCTAGTCTCCCTCTCTCATGCTCACAGGGAGGGGTAGATGATGAAGTGACCCTCTCCGCCTATATCGCAATTGCCCTTCTGGAGATTCCTCTTCCAGTCACGGTAGGTCCTACTCCACCCACCTGCTCAAAGACAGTCCTGGAAACAACAAGACCATTGATCTGCTGTATAAAACACTATCCAGTTCAAATCCATTATTGGCTTTCCTTCTAGGTGATCCCAAATCAACAGAAAATCAGTCCAATCCATTAAGAAAGATTTACACTTTTCTAGCAATATCCTTGGTCTATGTCTTCCCTGTCTTCAACTTCTCCTTAGAAAATCCCCAAATGTATGGTCTCTATTCCTCCATTTGATAATGGGAATGGCCGATAAAAATACTATGCTCTCCATCCTCAAGATAGAGGAATAGATGGTCAAATGCATTTTAAAAATGTCTTTTCCTCCTGTGTTGTGCTCTGGTGGTTTCCAGGGATGGTTCATACCTCAGTTCACAGAGCTCACTTCCCTCCTTGTACTCCTTTCACAGCACCCTGTTGTCCGCAACGCCCTGTTCTGCCTGGAGTCAGCCTGGAATTCTGTGAAAAATGGAGCCCAAGGCAGCCATGTCTACACCAAGGCACTGTTGGCCTATGCTTTTACCCTGGCAGATAACCAGGAAAAGAGGAAAGAAGTCCTCCTGTCCCTTCATGCAGAAGCTGTAAAAGAAGGTAAAAGTACATCTGAGATTTTTTCCCCTCACCATATACTCTATAACAAGAATGTTATAGAGTTACTCCATAGCATTGCTAAAAGGTCCTACTCTCTACTGCCTATGATCTCTGTCGTTGCTCTTTTATGTCAACCACAAAAAACTCTGTTCATTTTCTATTTCTCTAATATCTAAGATTTCTTAATTAAATCAGACATCAAAAGATAACAGTCAACACAGTGTTGCAGTGAGAATCTGTCTCTAGAGACTAGAATGTACTACCTACAAGATATTGGCGAAATCATCAACCTGTGTGTCAATCCCTTCACTGTTAAAATATGAGTAAGAATAGTATTCACTTCATAATCTTGTTGTATTAAGTCAGTTAACTACATAAAACACCGAGCAGAGTCTAGACTATAATAAATGTCTTAAAGTACAAATTAATATTACTAAAATATCTGTTCTTGCTATATATACCCAGCCATTCATATATCCCATGATTCATACCATCTTAAAAACTTATTGATTTGAAAGATAGAGAAAGGGAGAGACAGAGAGGTCTTCCAACCACTAGTTTACTCCTCAAATGGCTGCAATGGCCAGGGCTGGGCTATGCTGAAGCCGAGAGCCAGTAACTCCATCTGGATCTCTGTCATGGTACTTGGATCATCATACGGTGCTTTTCTAGATACACTATCCTGAAACTGTATGAGAAAAAGTGGAGTAGCTAGGATTCAAACCAACCCTCAGATATGCAATACTAGCATCGTAAGCAGGTTAATCTACTGTGCCACAATGCCAGCTCCATTCCACATCATCTTAAGCATAAAAATAGATTGATGGAAGGCATATCATGAATAAATTACATTTTATTTCACAAAATTAATAAAGTTGATCAATCTATTCATATTTACATAACACATGCATCCCAGGTATGCAGAAAAAAAAAACACAAAGAATGGTTAGCAAACACCTGTGTAACTCCCTCCCAGCTGAAGAAAGTGGTCCCCTGCAGACCACTTAGGCTTTTCAAGTTCAACATTCTGCTAATGAGTTTCCTAAATGGGTGCTTGCAGCTCTACTTCATTGATGTTCACTGCTGTATAATCTATTATGTTATGTAAATATGTCATAATGCCCATGGAGTTTCCCCTCATGGATCATTTGTCATTATTTTTTTGGTGGTTACAAAGCCATCCCTTTGTGCAAGTTTCTCCGAGTTATACTTCAAGATGCATGGTGACACATCTCCCCCTTTGCCAGACATTGTCAAATTGATCTCCGAAGGGCAGCTGGCTACCCATAAGTGTGCACATTAGTTCCTACCATTTCACACCCATGGCATCCTTTGGTATTGTAAGTTGCTATATTTCTTTCCAACCTGATGAATGTGAAACCCATTATGTCATAGAACTGGATTTTCTATGACATATGCCAGGAAAGATTTAAAGGAAATTCAGTAAACTTCAGATGAGTTCTGGACAATGTCAGAAATATGAATTAGCCACATTCACGACAGAAGTGACTTTCCCTTCCCCCACCTCCTGCTCCTGCAAACACACTATAGCAGTTATTTACAAACAGAGATGATCAAAGGTTTCTGGCTCAAGCAGCACTGCCTGCCATAGTTGGGCAGAAATCTACCAGGCTCAGATTTACCTAAAAGAAAATCATTCAATAAGCTTCAGATAAACTCATCATAGTGTCAGGATTCTTTCAGTTCAAATTAAGCATGAATATAGAATCACTGGCCCATGTCTGTTTCTCACCCTGAAGATAACTCCATCCATTGGGAGCGACTTCAGAAACCCAAGACGTCAAACACCAAGGCTCCCTCTGCTGAGGTGGAGATGACGGCCTACGTACTCCTGGCCTACGTCACAGCCAGGTCCGCCCTCGCATCCGAGGACCTGGCTGCTGCTACACTCATCGTGCAGTGGATCAAAAAGCAGCAGAACGCCCAGGGCGGCTTCTCCTCCACCCAGGTCTGTGACTTATCAGAGCTTTTCACTTCCTCTTCAAGTACCATACTGTTAGAACAAGGCAGAAACACACAGAAGAAGGAAAAAGGAGAGTGCAATAACTAAATGAGGAAAAAGTGATTCAAATTCTGGAAAATGAAAAGTAAGAAAAAAAAAGATTAGGTCAAAGAGGACTTAAAAAAAAACCCTGGAATTCTGGAATCACATCCTTGTGTTATTACCACGGTTTTTATTTAGCAAAACAACTCCACCTCTCTGAAATAGTAGCAAGGCACCAGAAGAATGAAGAAAAACAGGTTCCATTCTTCTGGAAGCTTTTTTGTTTTATTTTTAAGAGTTACTTCTCTTTATTTGAGAGCAGATTTACAGAAAAAAGGAGAACCTGAAAGAGAATTCTTCAATCCACTGGTTCACTCCCCAAATGGCTGGAACAGCCAGAGTTGAGCTGATTTGAAGCCAGGAACTTCTTCCAGGTTTCCCACCTAGCAGGCTATCCTCCTCTGTTTTACCATACCACAAGTAGAGAGCTGGTTTAGAAATGGAGTACCTGGGACTAGAACCTGTGCCTACATGGGATACTTGAAGGTAGAGGATTAGTCTGTTAAGCCACCATGCCGGTCCCCATTCTTCTGGATGTTTTGAGTATCTCTCAGCCTGTTTGCAGGAACTCTACTCAAAACCCAGCATTCTCTCTTTGCAGCTCTCTTTATTCTCAAGCCCCTTTCAACTGCCATCTTTTTCAAAAAAAGTTTATTTATTTGAAAGGCAAATTGGCAGTGAGCAGGGAGGGAGGGAGAGAATCTTGCATCTGCTGGTTCACTCTCCAAATAGCCATGAGAAGTAAGAGCCAGGACTGAGCTAAGCAGTAGTCAAGAGACAAAAACTACAATCTGGTCTCCCATGTAGAAGACAGAGGCCTGTCTTCTTAAGCAACCTTTCCCCCATCCTCAATTGGAAAAGCAGATATACAAAGAGAAAAAGATACAGAGAGAAAGATCCAACCACTAGCTCTAATGGCCAGAGTTGAGCCAATCTGAAGCCAGGAGCCAGGAACATTCTCCCAGCTCTCCCACATAAATACAGGATTCCAAGACTTTGAGCCATCCTCTACTATTTTATCAGGCCATAAGCTGGGAGCCAGATGGGAAGTGGAACAGCCCAGGCTCAAATCGGCACTCATATGAGATCCCAATGGATGCAATGCAAGGATTTAGCCACTAGGCTATTGTGCTGGGCTCTAACTTAAGTCATTTTTTGCTGCTTTCCTAGACACATTAGCAGGCAGCTGCACACGAAGCAGAACAAGGGGTCAAACCAGATCTTCCATGGGATGCTAGTATTGCAGACAGTAGCTTTTCCTGCTGTGCTAACTGGCTTTAGGTAAAGCTGACACATTTCATTTTACCGTAAAGACCTCTTCATCTTCATTGCAGCATGAGCTGTCTTTGTTCACTCACCCTCCCAAGCCTTACTACATAATCATGTATTTAATCAAGTCACCAGTATCACACACAGGAAGTTTTATCTTTGGAGAATCTGTGTGGAAGACGGCACGTTTACCTGCCTGAGTGTGTCTTTCCCTGATCTCTTCCAGGACACAGTGGTTGCTCTCCAAGCTCTGTCAAAATATGGGGCAGCCACTTTCTCCAGGACTGAGTCAGCTCTAGAGGTCACCATCCAGTCTTCGGGGACATTTTCCACAAAATTCCAAGTGAACAACAACAATCGCCTATTACTACAGCAGGTCTCCTTACCGAAGGTACCTGGAGAATATAGTGCAATTGTGAAAGGCCATGGATGTGTCTACCTGCAGGTGAGTCTTGGGCAGATAAAGATGGAGGGACTGGGACAACCTCGCTCAGTAACAAGTCCCAATTCAGTACACAGTGGGGCAAATGCAAGAAGGCATAGGGGAAGCTGAGAGAAAGATAATCAGATTGTTTTATTTTTTCATATCTTCTAGACATCCATGAAATACAATGTTATTCCAGAAAAGGAAAATTTCCCATTTGCTTTACAAGTGCAAACTGTGCCCCAAACTTGTGATGGACCCAAGGCCCATACCACCTTCCAGATCTCCCTGAATCTCAGGTAAGACATTCCAACGCTATCAGTTAGTCCAGAAAATAACAAGTAATGTTGCTGAACATCACCAGGTAGAGCAGGATGAAGGTTAATATTTGCACCACATTTGCTGAAAACACAAGCCAGTCGATACAACAGAGTTTCTCAGGGTTGGGGTTTAAATTTTCTGCTCATTCTCTGGAACTTGTTACTATTCACTCCCATCATTTCAAGATTATGAATTTCCATCAATAACAACTAAGTTTAAAATACTACTCTTAGAACTTGAATTCTCCCTAGAGAATTCGACTAAATTACTCTACTAATCTACCAAAAACCTTGAATAGAATAAAGCCAGTGGCCTGGAAACTAGAATTCCTAATGGAATAAACAAATGGCAGGTCACATAAAAGATGATCGATCTAGGACAGAGAGAAGGAGTTGTACACAGTAATCTATAAAAAGCTTACCAAAAATGTTACTGATCCATAAGAACATCATAACTTAGTTGGGGGACTTGTTCAGGAAGAAAGTTAAGATCAAGTGTATTTGCTGATAACTGAGAGATTAAGAGGACCCCAGGCCATACCTCACTTAAAACTGTGATCCTGACTGGTAATTTTGCTTCATCAGGTCTGGAGTAGGACTCTGTGACACTAATAGTATCTGTAAAAAGTATAATATTTTCAAAACCTTACCTAGGGGCGTGGCATGGTAGCCTAGCAGCTAAAGTCCTTAAATAAATCTTTAAAAAGAAGGCATACCCAGGAATAGAATATATTAATAATACAGAAACAGTAGGCTTATTTCTTCCCTTGATCTGCAGTTACACTGGGAGCCGTCCTGAGTCAAACATGGTCATTGCTGATGTGAAGATGGTGTCTGGCTTCACTCCCCTGAAACCAACAGTGAAAATGGTAGGTTTACTATAAGCCAAGAAACTCTGTTTGTTTTACACTTTGTGTCTTCTTAGACTGAGGCTGTTGTCATATTAAAAATATTAAGTCAACCCCTGTCAAGGCCTCCTACTTCTCCAAATTCAGAAATGTAATTGAATGCCTTTTGTGTAAGTGTCTGCTACATGCCCAGAACTCTGCCAGCAGACATGACTATGACTGGGAAAATGCAGCAGACTTCCGCTTTCCTGGAGCTTAGAATCTCATGAAGAAGACAGAACGTGAGGCTAGCTCGGTCACGTTGGAAGTTAATTCCCCACTTTTAGTACCAGCATCCCATATGGGTGTCAATGCAGTTCCCTGCTAATGACCTGGGAAGGCTGCAGAGGATAACTCAAGGCTTTGGGATCCTACTTCCACAAGGGAGACCCAGAAGAATTTCTTGGCTCCTGGTTTCTGACCAGCCCAGCTCCGGCTACTGCAGTCATCTGGGGAATGAGTCGGCAGATAGAAGATCTCTCTCTGTCTCTCCCTCTCTTTCTCTCTCTGTAATTCTGTTAAGTAAAATAAACACACCTCTTTTTAAAAAATAAACTATGAGAATGAACAAGTGAAAAAAATATGAAAATGACCACTCTGCTAGGAGATTAAGTTAAATGAAGCAAAAAATGCATGAAGAAGTAGAATGGGAATTAAATCTTAAATATGGGTATCTCTTAAATTTAGAATATTCTATTTTTTTCTTCAGATAAATCAACTTTACGTTTAAGTCATATACCATATTAATATTAAACCCTTCGCTCAAATTGCCTTTTCTTTTTAACTTTTAATACATTATTATGTCTTTCCTTGCCCAAAGAATTTGAAAAAAATTATAATCTCAGGCTTATTACAGCAAAAAGAAAATACATTTTTCCTAAGTATATTTCAGATGTCTGATAAGTATACTTATTAATATTTGTGATGTCTGAATTGCCTTCAGCTGGAAAGATCTAACCATGTGAACCGGACGGAAGTCAGCAACAACCACGTCTTGATTTATCTGGATAAGGTAAGAGCAAGTGAGCACCAACGCAAAACTTCAGTGTGAGGATGCCTCTCAGGGACCCCCATGGGAAGCTACGGAATGCATTGTGGAGACTTCTTCATGCCAAAAAGGTGGCATTATAATATTAAATTAGAGAGTTCTGTCTTTTAAATATTCATATTGCAGGTAAATTATTACACTGCTGGGACATAAATGTTTCTAGGACCCTTGAGCAAACAATTCTTTACAAAATGTGTTCATTATATTCACAAATTATCCTGAAGACATAAATCAATGCCAGGACGTCACCATGGTGTTCTCTCAATTCTTACAACAGCAGTTCCATCAATAATGTAAAAGGAGCAATATTGTCCATCTCCGCAAAGGCTTGGATCATAAAATAAGACTGGTACACAAATAAACCAACTTGATCTTACAGATATGCGTGCTAGCAAAGTTTATTCACTCCTAGATGGATGGGAACTATGTGTTACTGCAATGATCAGCCTTTCCTATAAGTCTTTGAGACTACAGAAGTATTTCCACAAGCTACATAAGTGGTATTGTGTCAGATCTCTGAATATTTGTAAATAAACATAGCTAGTCAACCACTCAAAAACATGTATCATTGACTCTCTAAGACAAAAGATGCATATTGGCAATTATGAGGGCTGTATGAAATATGTTAGAAGTTATTTGGAGAATCTCCTGTACAGTCTGAGGGCCTTCTGTGTCATTTAAAAAAAAAAAATCCCACAGTAGACTGTTAGTCGATAAAAGTTGTTTTATCCAAAACAGGTGAAGACTTTATGCGGAGAAAGAACAAAACTTTTCTGTTTTCTTTTTCAGGTGTCAGATCAAACTGTGAGCTTGTCCTTCACGGTTACACAAGATATTGCAGTCAGAGATCTGAAACCAGCCATCGTGAAAGTCTATGATTACTATGAGACAGGTGAGTATGAGTGAATGTCACAAAGAAATTAAAGCCTGGTCACAGAATTTTATATTGGAGGAGTGTGTTGGGTTTCTCATTACATTAAATTCTCTTATCACTTCCTTTTGTCTTCATCAAGCCTGATTCCCCATTTTCTACTATCTATACATACATTATAGAAATACCTAGATTGCGAATATAGCCACCACTTAGGCACCTTTTTCATCAGATAAACTGACTATAGGAAAACAAAGAATTTGAGTAAATATAAAATCTGAACTATCTGTTGAATATATATAGGGGATAAAATAAAACAGAGTGCATTTGAAAGGATAATGTAAAACAGCAGTCAGAACATCAAATGAAACATATTAGTGTTTGATGGATTACACTTATTTCCACAACAAAGATTCCTCCAGTGATCAATATCCTGCAGTTACCTGCTTTCCCTCTCAGACAACACAATGATTCTTGTCTTTTTAGATGAATTTGCAATTGCTGAGTACAATGCGCCTTGCAGCAAAGGTAAGGGATTCCCACACTCTCAAATGCAATCAAGAGATCCCTTGGCTTTGTTCCCATTTATTCTCAAAAATTCTGATTAACTATTCTGTTATGTAATGTTGCTCACAGTGCATATTATTACAGAAAAATGCATTTATTGGAGAAGACTAGTGATTCTGTCAAAATTCAGAGGATTAAGAGTTCCTTGTTGAGTAACAATATATCATAGAACTCACCACTTTAGGGGTTTCCTTAGTCACCTTGCTACAGAGAAGGTGTAGTCTCTGCTCATGGAAATGCAAGTTCAACAGAATTTTTTTTTTCTTTCCACTACTACAGAGAGTGGAAATGCTTGAAGACTGTATCAATGACAAGTGTTTGGTCAGTGTCCCTGTTCTCAAGACATCATGAAGGAAAGTGTTTTTGTATCTCAAAAGACCCAATGAATAAAGCTTTTTTTTTTTCTGACTAGTCTATCATTGCTTCCTCATTTGTCCAATGAACTTTTTATTTTATATTCCTGTATGATTTCCAATAGAATACTAAAATTAAAATGCTAAAATTAAAAATTAAAACGCATAGTAATAAGGCTGAAGGACTTCAGAAGGCAAATGCGTCATAAGTGTGCTGGTGCAACTTTCAGGGGGAAAGTGTTGGACAATGCATGATAAGAGCACAATATTGTAAGAAGTTGAACTGAATTTGTGTAAGAAACACAAACTGATTTGGCAAAAGGTATGTACATTAAAAGGAAATAATATATATGTGTTATTTAAATTCCTCTGCTTGAAAAGCAGAGCAACAGAGAACAGAACAGAGCGACCATCTGCTGCACCACTTCCCAAAAACCCACCCACAGCTGAAGCTGGGCTAGGCCAAAACCAAGATCCCCAAACTCTACTCATTCTTGTCAATTGGGTAGTAGGAACCCATGTACTTACGCTAACAACTGCCACATCCCAAGGTGTGTATTACCAGAAAGCTGCATCAGATACAGAAAAGCCGAGACTCAAATGGTTGCACTCACATCTAAGATGCAGGCATCCAAGCAGTGTCTTAAATGTGTATCAGTCATGCTGTTTTAGAACCACAAAATAGTTCATAACGAGAGGCAGCATAACCAAATGGGACTCAGTATAAACTGGGAGTTGTGCATCCTAAATGAGACCGGAATTTGCCACTAACAGCACTAGTTCACCTTGGGTCTCTAAATGGTTTTGTTTGTTTGTTTGTTTGTTTGTTTGTTTGGCACTAAAAGGCTAGTACTCAACAGAAAGCAGATCTAAGTACTGTAAACTAAATTAAAAGGGATGCTGGAGTTCAGGTACTGTTCAGTGCTATCTATAGCACTGAAAATAAAAGCATAAAATGCATCATTTTGGAGTGGATATTAGGCCAAGTGGTGGCGAGAGCCATTAACATGTGTGCTGGGTCTGATTTCTCTAACTACCAACCCCATATTCCTACTAGTACCGACCCAGGGAAGCACCAATGATGAAGCACCTGGTGGGATTCCTGCCCCCTCAGGAGGGAAAGCTTCTGAACTGAATTCCTGGTTCTTGGCTTAACCGAGGGGTCCAATCCCGGCTCTTGTGAGCGGTTTGAAAGTGATTCAGTGGGTAGGAGTTCTTGTTCTCTGTCTCTCCACCTGTCAGATTTTAACATAAAACTTTTGTGCAGGTTACACTCTCAGCACCTCACAGAAACTAACATCAACTCTGACATCTGCGCTGCCCTGTAACAAATGAGGAAAGTGAGGCAGAGAGATATAGTTTTCCCAAGCACCTTAGCAAATGCATGGCAGAGCCAGACTTCACGACCAAGAAGAGCAGCTCCCAGGTCCACACACCTCACCTCAAGCCATGCAACAGCTCCAGCCCACTTCAGACAAGGAGACCAGGAAAAAATGTGCTCCAAGGCTCAATCAACATTATACTTAGCTCTTAAGTACACATCAAGGGACGGAGAGAAAAAGAAGTTGGGTATGGCTAAGAAAGCAAATCAACAAGATTATAATAAATCCGATCACTTAGTTCTAGTCCCTTTTTCTTTGTTCATACAGAAATCATGGCTATAAATGTACTTTAAGAATAAGCCTGTTACAAAGCAGTAGTGATATTATTTTCAACCAAGAATATTCACTTCTGGAATATGAATTGATTACATACATCCTGCCCTGTGAAACAGATTGCCTACTGTAATGGTACACATGGTATGACACAATATTTTTAAGTACTAAATTCTTCATTAAAAACACATGTTCCTGGGAACACAGGAATCATACCATAGGTTGACCTGCTGCTGGTGACTGTGCCATCCCATACCTGAGCACTGGCTAGAGTCCCACTGTTGCAATTTTTATTCCTGCTCTGTGCTAATATTCCAGGGAAAACCTCAGAAGGTGGCTCAAGCACCAGGGCCCCTGCTACCACATGGGAGATCAAGAGAGAATTCTAGGCTCTTGCGTTCATGCTGGCTCAGCTAGCTGTTATAGCCATTAGGAGAGTGAATCATCTCTGTGTCTCCGTAACTCTGTTCCTCTGCCTTTCAAACAGATAATTTTTTACTTAAAAAAAAAATCACCTGTGACCTAAAGCCACAAACATGCACTTGGATCATTGTAATGTCATGTGATACGTACTACTCTAATGAACTATAGAGAAAATGACCACCCACACTCAGATATGATCCTAGAGAAAAAGGATTTCCCAACCATCTGAAGACAGGGAAATTTTGACACTTTAAGGACCAATGTGTCTTCTACATCTGACTTAATGAGTTGAGACTTCTTCTTTCTACAAAAGTATACGGAAGCATGACATGGAATTAGAGATCTATCTGAGTCAACTTTTCAGGAATTTGTAAAGTGAGACTTATGTGAGAAGTAGGATGGCAGTCGGGGTTCAAGAGAAGAACTACGAGAGAAGATAGTGCAATCCAAGAAACAGAAGTGCAATGAAAAAGACCAAGTTTCCGAAAACTTGAGAATCGGAAAAAGACGGTTATCTCTTTTCAGTCTGTGCCAAGCTTTGATTTTTACCATATATGTAACTCCTATAATATGTTTAGCTAAGCCAAAATTGTAGAACCCAGACAGATAAAATGTAGAAAGAAAGAAGGAAAGAAAGAAAGAAAGAAAGAAAGAACGAACGAACTAGCCCTGCAGTCCATAAAAGCACAGCTATACGTAATCAAAATTCTAAGTTAGATGATAAACTATCTTCTTTGGGTACAAGCAAGGAATTGTAATTCTCACGACTCCAGATTGGTCCTATAATCCTTCATGTCACTCATTACTCCTTCACCAATACAGACTTTATACATCTCATTGCTTCCTAGGGGATCATTCTGAACACATGGGGATTGGGGATCGAGCTTGCAGTTATCAGAGAAACTGAAACGGACATATTCCAAAAAATGAGACTGCCACTAATCAGTAATCTAAAATGGATAGTGGAATATGAGAACAGAAAGCTTATTTTTATGATGGACTCTAACTGCCTAAATATTAGTGCAAAATCATAAATTTAATCCTTTTAGCATCCATGTGAATTGAACTTTTCATTCTGTAGCATTTCTACTAAATTATTGGTAAGCAAAGGCAGTAACTGTTAATGTGGATGATCTCATTCTCTTTGTTAAAAAAAAATCATAAAATACCTTTGGAAGAAAGAAGAAGGCAAAAAAAAATCACATAGTATTCTTAATGCATGTTTCTTGAAATGATCACAATCTACTAATTTATGTGTAAGCCATGATTTTGTTGATCCCAAAATCATGATAAAAAAGCAAGAAAATCTCACATTTCCATATCCCACCAGAAACTTGCATGTTTAGCAATACAAAAATGACCAATTATTGACACATCTTGGTTTGTCTACATTACCATTTTCTGATGCAAATAGTTTGTTTCATGGGACTCAACGAGCCCTGAAACATAATATTTTTCATAAAATCCATTACCTCTTAAATTACCTATTGATCATGGTATCATTGTTTAAAGGATTAACTGTCCATCTACCTTGCTGATTCTTTTGCTTGAAATTGCTAATATAGCTTCCATCATGTATGACCCTACGTGAATTTTTAAAATTTCTCCATTAATCTAATTTTGCTTTTAACTACAAAATCATTAGTCATTACTTTTGGCTACCACTTTTTGGCTGCTATTTATGTATGTTTGTATGCATGTATTTATTATTATTATTATTATTATTATTATTATTATTATTATTATTATTACTGTCCATGACACTTGTCTTAGAAAATTTAGGAGCCTGACTGAAGAGTTCCTCAACTTGAGAGCTGTTGTGAATGTTCAGTGACATCTGATTTTCCAAGGTCTGTGGCAAGAGCTCGCCTTTGAACTAGTGTTAACTCAGTATTTATGAGGGTGGTTTGTCAAGACAAAAAATAGGGTGCCTCCTTCCCACAAACTAAAGAATCAAGTCACAGTCCATTGTTTCATTTCTGATTGTTTTTCTTTGTAATAAGTGGGAAAGTGGATATTGGATAAAAGTCTTGCCTGAGGTAAAAGAATCCACACGTAAGGCTCCAATTAGCTATAAATCAGTTGTCTTTCATATTGGGGGGAGAACAAGAGAGAAACAAGTCTTTTGGGTAGTTAGAGGAAAAGAACTGAAAAAGCTTCCAAATTAAATTCTGAAAAAGATACCTACAGCATACCTAAAACTTCTTTCAGGGGTTATTATAAAAACGCCATCAAAAAAGTAGGACTAAAATCAACCCTGCCCAATGGGGAGGGTTAGGACCTTTCTCCAGCGTAATCCTGGATCTTAAAAGAGAGCCTGGGGAGTTTAGAGACCCTCATAAAACCAAAGGTTGACACTGCCCTGCTTGTTCCTAAACCCCCAGATGTGCCACACATTGGCAGTATTGTAATGCAAACAATGCCTAAAAGGCTATAAACCATTAATGAACTCTCATTAAAATGGCTTTCAAAAACTTGTAAGGCCACCTGAAAAAGCTAACAGGTGCATTCAATCCACACAGATCGACATTCAAAACACCGACCGCCCTCATTTGGAACCCAAAATTCAACACAAGCAAAATTTCAGAACTCTGACTTTTTTTAAAAAAAATTTCAACTATTAAGCCAGAATCAATCTACTTCTCCCCCAAATCTAATTCATGTTGTAATCAATATAGCGAAATGCAAATGAATCATCATTGTGTGCCCACATGTGTTTAAATTGATCGGGAGAAATGTGTGGTGGAAATCTAGCAGAGAAAAATCCAACCGGACAAATAAAAAAAAAATGTCAGGAAATGTGCCTTTAAATCTCATCCATCGTCCTCTCTTTCAAAAATTCTTTAACATCTACAGCTCCCCAGTCCATGCACGTATTCGATAAATTCCGGGTCGAATTTGTAGAAATCAAATTAAATTCATATTAGTTGGCAGGTGGTGCATAGTCTTTTCTTCCCCCACCCCATGGCGGGAGGAGGGG